TTTTTTTTTTTTTTTTTTTTTGCTAGAAACACTGGATGGGCCAGGAGGCCATTGGTGGAGCTAAGGTGACCTGGAGGAAGCAGGAAAGGAAAAGGCGAGGTAGACACAAAGGGCAACTGTCAAAATTTAGCTCTTCCCACCCCCCCACCCCCCAGATTACCTAGAAAATACTGAGACACATTAATTCACTCATCAGAGGTTCGTTGAGCACACACACATCTGTGTGGAGCACTGGGCCAAACTCGGGGGAGGGTAACGGGGCAGGGGGGAGGAGGAAGGGTGGGGACAAAGCCAACATACCCCTGCCCCTGTGGGAGTTAGCACTGGAGTGTCTCCTCCCAGAGCTTGGACCCTCGGGGCATTTCTGAAATTGCCTTGTGACACTGGGCGAGTCCTTTCAGGTCACCAAACCTCAGGTTTACTTTTTGGGATACGCGTTTCTGATGCGGCATCTGCTTCCCAGGGCTGCCAAAGACCCGGGCTGAGCACGGCCGGCAGCGGCTCCAGCGGCCTCACATCCAGGTGTGAACAAAATACGATTTCAGAGAGTTTGCCGGTGCCTGGGAGTAACAGGACCGGACATTTTTTTTTTTTTTTCCAGTAGCACCTAATATGGTTAGAAAGTGGTATATATCCTGTTACTTCCTTTTTTAACTTTCTAAATTTTTTTAATGTTTTTATTTATTTATTTTTTATGTTTCTTTCAATATATGAAGTTTATTGTCAAATTGGTTTCCATACAACACCCAGTGCTCATCCCAAAAGGTGCCCTCCTCAATACCCATCACCCACCCTCCCCTCCCTCCCACCCCCCATCAGCCCTCAGTTTGTTCTCATTTTTTAAGAGTCTCTTATGCTTTGGCTCTCTCCCACTCTAACCTCTTTAGGACAGGACAGTTGAACTCTGGAAGGTTCCGGTCCAGGCTCAGGGCGCCCCCGACCCCCACCCCGGGCAGCACTGCCAGGCGCATCGGGCACCCCAGAAGCCGTGGGTCCAGCCCGTCCCACGCTAGGGGCCCAAGCAGGTGCATCGCAGCCCGGGTTCCGAGGCAAGCACCTGACTGGACACATCTGATTGGTCCGGAGGCAGGCACCTGACCCAAGCTGGGCCAATCAGAGTCTCATTGTTGGCGGGGGCGGGGAGGTGGCCTCCTGGAGCCTCGGACTTCGCAGTGCATGAGCTCTCCGTAGAGACAAAGTATCTCTTCCAGATAATAACGGGTGGGGCCAGGGTGGAAGCCTGCACACCTCTGGTTCTGAGGCCGCAGTGTTAATCACCCGCGTTAGCGCTCCGCTTCTGG